CCACTTATAGGGTGTCTCCCAGCTAATGCTCAACTGATGCTGACTAAGCAGGTTGCCTTGCTTCCTTCTCCTTTCTTGGTTTAGATACATCTTGTCACTTTTCTTCTGAATTACAGTGTTCTCTCCTGGATGATCTATTTCAAAGTGCAATTACCTACTCACTATTTTGGTTTGCCATAGTAAAGGTGGCAAGTACAAAATGCCTCTAATCAGTCATCTTGAAGCCTCACTCTTCCATGTCTTTTTAAATCATTTTTAGTAATATATTTCCCTATAGAGCCCCAAATTTATAAGCACAAAGTTATACAACTCTTCTAAGTGTTCAATTTCTTCTCATTCTGAATTTTGAGTAATAGTGATGTATTTATTCCTTTCTGCCTTCTTTCCCCTCCCTCCCTCCCTCCCTCTCTCCCTCCTTCTTTCCTCTTAATGAGGCAGAGCAAAGTGTTTGTTTTTAAAAATGTAACACTCCCTTGCCTGAAGTCCTTCAAAGACTGTAGGACAAAGTCTAAATTACCAATACAAAACAATGTGTCTCACGTTGCCATTTACCGACTTCTGTTTCTAATTGTCATCCTTAGTCTATCCTGAATATACCTGGCTTTATTTTATCACTTCATCTTTGTATATAAAATTAATATGTTCCTTACTCCCTCTACATGCTTTCTCTCCCTGGAAACCTCTTGCTGGTCCTAAAAGTCACTCCAACTTGTGCCTAGTCTGAGAAATCTTCCTTCAAAGGTCCCAAAGCTGAGAACTCATCTGTGAAATTTTCCTTTTTTTGAATCTGTCACTGTTGATATCCCTTGGAGCTCAATTCTCACACCTTTTCTCCATCTATACTCAATTCCTGGAAGAGAGCCTATTCTATGGCATTAAATACCATTTTTACACTGATAAATTCTAAATTTTTATCTACAGCAATGATTTTGCCATGCCAATCTAATGTCTCTATGCAGATGACAAATATCTTAAGTTTAATATGTCAAAAATGAAAGACTTGAGTGGCAGTAGAACATTCTCCAAATGTATTATTCACTGGGGGTTCCCCCTCTCAGTAAACAGTACCACATAAATCCAGCTTGCTCAGCTCAAAAACCTTAGAATGACCCTTGACTGTTCTACTTCCCTTAAAACCCTATACCCAATCAAGCGCTAAGAACTGCTGCCTCTACCTTCAAAAGTATTTCTTACCACTTCTCTCTCTATCCCTCTAGTCCAAGCGATCATTATATTTTCCCTGGACTACTGCAAAGGTCTCCCAGTGGGACCCTCTTCTTCTACTTTTACCGACTTACAGTGTATTTATTTTCTACTTGATAACCAGTGTTACCCATTCAGAGATAAATCACATCATCACCACCTCCTAATCTTCTAACCCCGCATCTCACATCAGAATAAAATCTACAGTACTTACTGTGTCCTACAAGGCTAGAAATCACCTGGCTCCTGACTACCTCATCTCTTATCAGACCCACCACCAGAAAGAGATACATCACTGATAGACTGAGTCCCTTGCTATTCCTTGAACACATCAGTACCTACCATTATACTTGTTCCCTTTGACAAAAAGATATATCTATCAGCAATCCTAATGATTCAATTTCTCACTTCATTTAGATTATTTATGTTTTTCAAGTTCTTACCACTACCTACCAACATACCACATTTTTTAAGTGTTTCTTATTTATCAATTCATTAGAATATAAGCGCTGTAAAGTCAGGAGACTCATTTCTTTTGTTTAAGCCTTAATCTTGCCTGATATGAAGTAGATGCTTTATAAAAACTTATTAAATTAATGAGGGATTGAATATATTTAATGTATTATTCTAGTACAATACCTGTCATCCATGTAGATCATAAACTCTAAATCTAGGGATCAAGTACTTTGTCTCTTTCTTCCCAAAAACCTACCAGATAATCGCATGGTAGAGACACAAACAATATTTATGATAAAGTAAATTAATAAACACTGTCATTCACTTTTGTAAGAGAGTGGGGAAAATCTTATAAAGAAACCTAAGAACGCCAGTGTAATTATGTCACACATGGCAGAAACAAGAGGGGACTCTGCAGGAAGATACCTTGTAGACCATCTGATTCTTTTGCTCCTTTTCCAGAATAAAGGATTTCATCTGTAAATGAAGGTTTTCTGGAAACAGTAGCTTAGGAAAACACACAACACGTAGCTGTTATAATTGTCATGTTTATATTGAGTTCTTGGTTAGCTAGTGTGAAACAGCCCTGGTAAAACTAAACCTTCTTTTTTTTTTTTTTTGAGTTGGAGTCTCACTCTGTCACCCACCTGGCTCCCGGCCACTGCAGGCTCGACCTGCTGGGCTCCGGCGATCCTTCCGCCTCAGCCTTCCAAGTAGCTGGAACTACAGGCGTGCACTACCACACCCAGCAAATTTTTTGATTTATTGTAGAGATGAGGTCTCGCCAAATTGCCCAGGTGGGTTTCGAACCCGCGGGCTCAGGCAATCCACTCACCTCAGCCTCCCAAAGGCACGGGATTACAGGCTGAGCCACCAAGCCCGGCAAAATAAACTTTCAGTGTGCTTAAGCAATCAGTGTTTCCAATAAACACTGTCAACATGACCTTTAGTGGTCTCCAGAACTTCTCCGTTACTAAGTATTTAACTGGTTGTTCAACTCCTATGGGTTGCTGTCTGCATATAATTTTCCCCCTGCATTTTTCATGCTGGAGCAACAACAAAATACACAAGCTATCCTTTGAGAGGATTTCTGAACATAATTTGAAAAACTGTTGAAATAAAAAAACTGAGATGGGTTCAGGGAAAGAGTATCAGAAGATACAATATATTCCCCATCTGACAGAATAGTATAAATGATCCTCATGTTCGAATTCCCTAACTCCCTATTATTGACTTAATATTGAACTATAGTTCCTTCCACGTTTTCTTTCATGGAGAAATTTTGCTTTTCACAGAAAAATGAATAGAATTATTTTTGATAAAGTTACTGCCCATGCTCCATAAAAATGCTAGTATTTAAGAGTAATTATAATGCCTATTAAACTGCCTGGGGTCATTTTGAAGCTCTTAACAATGTTGTCATGTTTTTATACTCATTATCAGGGTCTCTTCATTAATTAATACTTTTTCTCACTAAAGAGCATCAATACTAATACAATTTGACATTATTGAGAAATTTTCAAGTCATGTTACAAACATAACATGCTATGTAATTAATTTTTATTTAAGTAATTTTATTGTTAATTTGAAACAATACATTATCACTTAATGAGTGTATAATAATAGTCTAGCAGGTGACCTAATCACATAGGTACATAAAAATTATTTTATACTCCAACATCACACTTTTTTTCTAACAACAGAAAAATAGTTAAGCCATACTAAAATTTTTACTTCTCATAAAATGTAAAAGCAGTATGAATAAAATTGAATTTCATCTCTTGTATCTACTCTCAAAAGAAGGTAAGAGAGAGGATAAAAGGATGAGAAAACATACACACCAGAAAACATAAATCATGGTTTCAGATCTACAACTGTATATGTAATTAACACCAATTTCTAGGTTTCAAAAGGTAGCAGAATATGTTTCAAAACTAAAACAATCGGGCAGGCTCTGTGGCTCACGCTTGTAAACCCAGCACTTTGGCAGGCTGAGATGGGAGAATCTCTTGAGGCTGGTTTGAGACCAGCCTGGCAACATAGTGAGACCCTGTCTCTACAAAAACAAACTCAAAAATTAGTTAGCACATGCCTATAGTCCTAACTACTCTAGAGGCTGAAGTGAGAGGATAGCTTGAGTCCTGGAGTTTGAGGTTGCAGTGAATCATGATAACACTAACATTCTCTAGCTTGGGTGACAGAGCAAAACTATGACTGGAAAAAAGAAAGAAAGAAAGAACAAAACCCAAAAGAACTAACACTAAAAAATCTAATAATAACATAAACAAAAAAATCAGACCATATAAGTTAGCCTTTATGTTAGATCCATTTTTTTTGTTATTTTGTTTTGTTTGTTTGCTTGGTTGAGTCAGGGTCTTACTCTGTCGCCTAGGCTGGAGTTCTGTGGTACTATCATAGCTCACCACAGCCTTGACCTCCTGGGCTCAGGTGATCCTTCTTCCTCAGCCTCCCAAGTAGCTGAGAGGCATGCACTACCATGCCTGACTAATTTGTTTTAAATTTTATTTTGGAGAGATGAGTTCTTGCTATGTTATCTAGGCTGGTCTTAAACTCTTGGGCTCATGCAGTCTTCTCATTTCAGCCTCCCAAAGTACTGGGATTATAGGTGTAGGCCACTGAGCCCAGCCTTAGATTGACTTTTTAATGTTTGAGTTGTTTCCCTTTTATCTTTTATCCTTAATACCTATTTAAAGTTTACACAATATAAAGGAGTTCAGTAGGCTTTTCTAACAGCATTAGCCCTCCAGAAACTTCCCTACCATCAATCCTTCTTTCATTCTACATCAGTGTCATTTTTCCATGTTTGATCCAACATGGGATCAAAACTAGTGCTGTGGACTTGCAAAATTATTAGAAAATTGCTAACTTTAAGAACAATGGAAAAAATTCCTCACTGCAAAGTAAGATTAAAATTGTTCATAAGACACAGAGAGGAGTCAATACTTGAGTTAAAAATTTTAATTAATATTGATGTCAGCCACAACAATTATCTTAGATCATACTTAAGAACGCTTATGATGAAGGTCAACTTAGAAATCAGTGATTTTCATGTGCAAAACATAAGGAAGGGTTAGGAGACACAGTTGTAGATTACTTCATTTTTTTGGTTTTGTTTTGTTTAAGTTTAAACACTCAAAAATTAGTACTGCTATTTGTTTTGCTAAGAAAAACAAGAAGGGAGTCAAAGTCTATGATAAATACTCATTTTCAAGAGCATGTTGCAAATCATCCTGCAGAAACAAAGCTGTATTAGGCAGAATGTCCCAGGCTGTTCACACCAAAAGTAGTTTCACAATACTGTAGAACACAGGGCTTCTCACCTTAAAAGTTGTAGTACCATAGAGCTTGGTGGTGTGAACTGTCTCTGGAAGCACATTAGTGATATTGGTGATGAATTCTTCCAAGTATTTACAGGATTTCTCCAAGTGTGTTGTATTGATAATAATCTGGACAAGCTAGAAAACATCAATGATATGTAAAGTCATTTGACTATTCAGCTTAGTATGAGTGGTTCAATATGAATCTGCTGGTATAAGACAAACAAAAGGCATGATGGCAAAGGCAATCCATGTTCTACAAAGGGTATATTAAAGCATGGATTTTCATGCTATTTCTTCTAAGAAGCCTTCCTGGCATCCCAAAATATTTAAGTAATTTTCATTTTATTATGGGAAAACTTGTCACTCTATTTTAAGCACTATATTTTCCTGTGTTTAAAAAAAATTATACTAAGAACAAAATCTGCTACTGCTTAGCATAGTGCCTGCTGATAAACAACTGTCTAATGAATTACCACTAAAAGACCAAGAATCACTGAAAAGGCAACAAGAATTTTCAAAATTAGGCATGATGAACAGAGAAAAGTTAGAATAGATTGTATTATATTAGCAAAGTACATTTGTTAATGGGGGAAAAAACATGGGCATTGAAGTCAGAGAAACCAGGGAGTTGACCCCACCTAAAAATTACTGATCTTAGGAAAGTTTCTTAACTTTTCTAAGCCTGTTTTCTTATCTCTAAAATGTCAATAATAATTTTTAACCTACAGAGTTATTATAAGGATTAAATACTCTATTGTTAACACTACTTCACTTTTCTTATATACAAGAGATCCTTTAAAAGACAATATGGTAAAATTAAAAAGTTATCTTCTATAAATTAACTGGGGACAGGAAGATGAGACAGATAACTATTACTGTCTGTATAGAATTAAAATTTGTAAAGAACTTTGCAATTCATTTTCTTAAATTGTGTTCCCATAAACCTGGAAAAGTGGTTAAAGGGACAAAATTATAACTTCCATTTTGTTATAAGAGAAATAAAAATAAAATTATTTTCTTTAGATGACATAACATAAATGAAACTAATATTCAATTCCAAGTTATCTACTTTCAACTATGGACTCTTCTAAAATTCGGCCAGTGATTTTTAACATAAATATAAGATGGCAGCCCTAGAGTGCTGTATGTTTGTGTACATTAGGCAGAAATATCAGATTTTCCGTGTGCCATCAGCTAGACTTCTCCATGCTTTGATTCTACTCTCTGTAAAAAAGAAAAAAAAAAAGTAGTACCTACGACTTATTTTTTTAACCAAACTATTAAAATGATTCACATTCCCTGAAGTCCAAAAGAAATACAAAGAATAAACAGAATGGAATTTTTTTTACTTTCTCCTTCCTAAATCTTTAACTTTTCATTTTCACAAGCATATGTCTGGTAGCAAGGCTGTGGCATGCAGGGAGAGCTTTAGTGTGTAAGGCATAAATAAATTTAGAGCTTTTAGTCGCGAGATAGTGAGCCGGAGGAAGAGTGGGTAGATGACACAAAGGAGAAACAGGAAGTAAAGACGAAGGGCGGTACTACACATGTCTACAATCAATAGTATCTCAAAACCGTGTTTAAAAGTTAGAATTATATTTCAATAAGAATCATTGTATCATGCTTTAGAATATTTTTACAAATGTAAATAAGACTATAATAAGAACGTTGGGAGAGAGGGAAGGGGGCAAGAGTTGAAAAACTACTTATATTTATACTATGCTCACTATTTGGGTAACAGGTTCAACAGAACCTCATCATTATGCAATATACCCAATGTAATAAATCTGTACATGCACCCACAAAAAAAAAAAGAAAAAAATCTGCAACAGAGCTGTTGCTTGCTTTATCCGGCAGATGCATTATAAGCTGTAAAAAATTAAATATTTTAAATGAACTTAGTCTTTTAAAAATTTCAAAGTTGAATCTCGTTGAAGTCTAGCAAATACCTTAATTTAGATTTGAGAGGCAACATAGAGGCTAAGAGCATAGACTTTGGAGTTAGACTGCTTGAGTTACAGCCTTGCATCACCATTCACTAGCTGTACAACTGTGGGCAAGCTATTTCACCTCTCAGAACTGCAGTTTCTTTATAAAATGAGGCTGATAGTAATATCTGCTCAAAGAATTGTTGTTGGGTTAAATGACTGAATATTTGCAAAGTGTTTCATACTGTGCTTGGCATAAAGAAAGGTAGGTAAATGTTTTATATACAAATCAATAAATGCAAAGATTCATTTAAAAAAAGAAAGAAAGAAAGAAAGGAACTTCTCACCTCCCCTACACCTAGCACAGGGTTGAAGCCCACAGTTCATTCTCAAAAATTATGTGTTAACTCATAATGACAAGGCTTTAGTAATAGTCTCCACTAAGGAAAAAAGTACCTTCTACTCCACTAAGTATCAATCTGAAGATCTTAGGAAAATAACTCCTTTGAAACATACTGACACAGGCCAAAGACGCAGCTCCAACAAAAGGCAGGGCAACACTGGGACAAATCTCTGTATTTTTCTCCACAACTCATCAGACAAGTTCATATTAAACAGCAGCCACTTTCCATTCCTTCCACAGTTTGAATTTAGACACTTGAGTTTTGGATGCAGGGCTACTATCTCCTATAAAATTACCTAACACATCAACATTTTAACTTTAGAATGCTCTATGAAAAACCGCCCACCAAAATAAGTAATTCATTACCTTCTTCCTTTCATCATTTTTTCCTTCAGAGGAGGACTAAAATCATTTTAAAACATTTAAATTGTCTAAATTAAATCACTTTTCTTCCTAAGTAGGAAGATGGCTCCTGGCAAGGTTGTCTCGATGTGGAACTCAGAAAATTAAGAGACTTAATTTAGAGAACTAAAAAATTTCTATTTTAAAATCAGCATTACACATTCTGTCTATCAAAAGAAACTCTAATAATAAGAAGGAATCATGTCATGTTATCGAAATAAAAAACAGTGGCAGTCAAAGAGAAAATTGTCCTGTTTTGCAGGATATTGGCAGTTAAAGAAAAAAAAGGAGGCGGTTTCACTGGGTACAGTAGTAATTTCCCATGACTTTTTAAAGATCTGTCAACACAAAAGATCACCATGAATTACATCAATTGGCTGTCAGTCACTTTTGAAATGTTTCATTGCTGAGCATAGAATAGACTATTAAAACACTTTGGATGACAGTAGATACCATGTCATTTTCAGAGAGAATATTGTCTGTTAATGAGGTCTAAATGATCTCTTCTCCTGAATGACAGCTACCAAAATCCTTACAAGGGCATTTACAAATGTAAAGTCAGATGCTTTGGGAGTAATTCTGACCTTATGGATGAAATGAAGCAATTTCAGATATAAACTTCCATCAGAGTTAAAGCTCCTTTGGTGATATTTTAAATCACTACACAATTTCTTACAAACTATATAGCACTACAGAAATCCAAACTGTCCTGAACATTGTTTCAAGGACATGAAACTAACAACAGATCAGATATTGTCTCTTACATAAAGTAAGGGTCTATGAGAACTGTCCCCACCCCTCTCCCCCAAAAAACAAAGCAAGCAACCACCTCTCACAACTAAATGAGAGAAACTACACACATTAAAAATCATTCGGAATTAGAAAACTTTTCCTTCTCTCCTTAAATATATCAGAGAGAATCTCTTCCTCTATCAGAGAGAAAGGCAGAGTACACTGAGAGGTCATTTTTCCTCCAACCCTGCTCCAAACACCCCAGTGCATCCTGAATCATGATGATGTATGTTCTATTCTTGAGAAATTCCGGGGAAAAAAATGCCTTGACCATCTTCTATACTTAAAAACTAATCTTTAACTCCAAGAAGAGGTTTCTATTCTTAACTATAAGTTACTTCTGGAATATGTATACCAGCTTATATTAGAACTGACATTAGCAGGTTTCCAAAAGCAGAGAATTCAGTATAATGAAGCTTCAAAAGGACTAACCCAAAGCAAGAAAATAAGAAGTCACACTCCTCTCCAAACCACCAATGTTTCCCCAGTGTTAGACCTGCAAGAAGATAAAAAACTACACAGCAGCACTGGTTCTCATTCACAAAAATGAGCTATCCCTAAGACTTCAGAGGACTTGATTTTCATTTCGCCCCAGTCAGTGTACAAAAATCTGTATCAACAGATTGATCATTTCGAGATCATTTTATACCATCTCCATGACTAAAATACCTAAAACACAGGGAACATAGTGTGAGTTATATCATTGCTGCTAACAATATGGAGTGGAGGTAAATGATATATGGGAGATAAATAAAAGGACAGAGTCATGTGGTCATCAATCTAAATTGTAGTAAAAAGAAAGACTGAATGTGAAGCATTAGTTATTTCTTCAGGTCTCCTGGGAGATACCACTATCCATAATTGTACCCAAGACGGAAAAAGCCCCTGGCCTCATAAAGATTACAGTAAACACACACACACACACACACAGAGAGAGAGAGAGAGAGAAAGAGAGAGAGAGAGAGAGAGAATAATGTTTATATGGTAACCAGCACTATGAATAGAAGTGAGAATGAGGCGTTATAAAGCAATGATAGGTTCTCATCTATTTTGAAAAAGGGTGGTCAAGAAAGGTCTCTTCAAGGAAATGACATTTAAGTAGGAACTTAGAGCATAAATTCCTTTTAATACAATTTATATCTTAAGGCTTTCTGTTAAATACTCTTCACAGACTTTCTTTGTTTCATGTTAAAACTTGCATTCCATCATAACTAATTATCTTTTATTCTGAGATTTAAAAACTGAGTTGTTTCTTATCTCTCCATAATACAGTGTTTTAAAATTAACACAGGGTGAAAAGAGAATAGACTTAGAATTTAAAATTTTAATTTCAAAACTTATTTGAAAACTCATTTTAGAAGAAAACTTACCTCAAATCAGATTTCAAACTACTTAACCAGTCGAATGGCCTTAAGCAAAGTTATTCACTATCTTTCAACATCTTAAAATTGGGATAATAACACCAATGTTATATAAAAGAAATAATAAACATGTAATAAATAATTAAATATAAACATTAATAATAAAATATCAGATGTAACACATACTCAATTCTTGAGAATTAGTATTGAGATGGACTCATTTATTATAGCCTTCAGCTACATATGGCC